GGACAGATGGAAATTTACAAAGCAATCTGGCCTTTACTACTGAGCTTATATGATTAATTCAATTGGAATTTCAATTACTGTCCCAAATTTAACAATATACTGAAGCAAATCACTACTCCGTTTATAAAGAAATGGGCCTAATTTTAAATTACTTAAATATCATCCTATATCTTAGATCTTTAATATGTGTAATTGTAAAAATGTAAAATTTAGGAATAAGTAAAAGTTTAGGAAAACAATGATTTATACTTTAATTCAACTCTTTCCACAAAGTTCATGCTGTTAAGTTTGCTTCCTTTAGGAAAATGTTTGAGTTTTGGTGTCATGAACATTTAAGTTGAGGCATGCCCTTTCCAGTTCTGTAAATCAGTGCCCTATTTATAATACCAAAGTTATTAATTCTCAAATGAATATTTTCATGTTTTATATAATTTTTAAGCTATATGAAGTAAAGTGTGCAATGAGGCTATCAGATTGCTTAATTTTTCAATTTTTATGCACCAGTCAATGAAGTTAAAATCCAAAATTTTCCAAATCTTCTGACTTAGTAAGAAATGATGGATGCTGTCAAAAGGAGCAGTCCATGGATGCCAATATGTGGCTTTCTCCATCTCTGGTTAATTAATTAATCAATTAATTAAACAAATATTTATTGAGCATCGACCATGTGCCAGGCACCATTCTAAAAGCTGCAGAAACAGCGATGAAGAAATGAGCCAGATGGCCCTGCTTTCATGCTGCTCACATTCTATATAGTGGAACAGACAGACAGGAAACCAGGAAGTGAAATGTGTAGTATGTCAGGTGGTGAGAAGGGCTGTGGGGTCAGGGAAGAGGCTCAGGAATTGAGGTGGGGAAGGAGAAGAGGGTTTTTGACCAAAGACTCTGAAAGACGAGAGGGAGCAAACCACTCTGAAGTCTGTGGGACTTCCAGGCAGGGATGGAAGCCCGAATAAAGGGCCCGAGTCTCACTGGTGTCACTGAGGTACAGCAGGGAAGCCAGCCTGGTGGGAACCCTTGAGAATGGGAAAGTCGTGGACAAAGAAGCTAGAGCCATGACCCAGGAGAGGACGGCAGCAGAGTGTACGCAGGCTCTTGTATGCAGATCACTGCGAAGACTTGAGTTTGTACTTGAAATGAGATGGGAAGCCACTTGGGGGTTTTGAATAGAACAGTAATAATATTATCTAACTTACATTTTGAAAGGATCTCTCTAGCTACTGGGAATATGTGGAGGGGCAAAAGAAGAGTAAGGTAGACCAGGTAGAAAACTATTGCAATAATCCAGGCTAACAACGTCAATAGATTGGACCAGAACGGTAGCGGGGGAAGTGGTGAGATGTGGCCAGATTAGGTACGTATTTTTAAGGTCGTGCTGCTGATGCATTGAACATTAGGTGTGAAAGAAAAAAGAAAGGAGGATCTAAAGTTTTTGACCTGAGCAACTAGAATGAAGGGCTATTTACCAAGCTGAGGAAGGCTAAGGGAGGAAAATATCTATGTCAGAAAGCAAGAGTTCAATGAGGAACACATTAAGTTTGATGTTAAGTAGACGTTTGATAACTGGAGTTCAGGGGGAAAGTTTGGGCTAGAGATGTAAAGTTTGGAGCTGTTAGTGTAGAGATGGTACATAAGGATCCTTGAGATGACCCAGGATATTGGCGTAGAATAGATTCAGAAGAAAAGAGGTGTAAGAGTTGAGACAAAGAGATTAGACAGTGTAAATAAGCCTTCAGGGATGGTTTATTTAGTTAATCTTCACGGAGATGCTTTCTGATATTAGAAAATATTCT